GTACCCTTGCCGACTACAACATCCAAAAGGAATCCACCCTCCACTTGGTTCTCCGTTTGAGGGGTGGGATGCAGATCTTCGTGAAGACCCTTACTGGAAAGACTATTACCCTCGAGGTTGAAAGTTCCGACACTATTGACAACGTCAAAGCCAAGATCCAGGACAAGGAGGGTATTCCCCCCGACCAGCAAAGGCTCATCTTTGCTGGAAAGCAACTTGAGGATGGACGAACCCTTGCCGACTACAACATTCAGAAGGAATCAACCCTCCACCTGGTGCTTCGTCTTAGGAGGCATGCAAATTTTCGTCAAGACCCTCACCGGGAAGACTATCACCCTCGAAGTGGAAAGCTCTGACACCATTGATAATGTCAAGGCTAAGATTCAAGACAAGGAGGGTATTCCCCAGACCAGCAGAGGTTGATTTTCGCCGGCAAGCAGCAGCTTGAGGACGGAAGGACTCTTGCTGATTACACAACATTCAGAAAGAGTCCACCCTTCACTTGGTGCTGAGGTTGAGGGGGCGGCATGCAGATTTTCGTCAAGACATTGACTGGGAAGACAATCACCCTTGAGGTGGAGAGCTCTGATACCATAGACAATGTCAAGGCAAAAATTCAGGACAAGGAGGGAATCCCACCAGACCAGCAAAGGTTGATCTTTGCTGGTAAGCAGCTTGAGGATGGACGCACTCTGGCGGATTATAACATTCAGAAGGAGTCAACCCTTCACTTGGTGCTTAGGTTGAGAGGAGGAATGCAGATCTTTGTGAAGACTTTGACCGGAAAGACCATCACCCTAGAGGTGGAGAGTTCGGACACAATTGACAATGTGAAGGCTAAGATTCAGGATAAGGAGGGGATCCCACCAGACCAGCAGAGGTTGATCTTTGCTGGTAAGCAATTGGAAGATGGCAGGACCTTGGCTGACTATAACATCCAGAAGGAGTCCACCCTCCACCTTGTCCTCCGTTTGCGCGGTGGCTTCTAAATGCTGTACTCTGTTGAAGCTGTCTTGGTGTTGAACTGAACTTGCCTTGGTGTTATCGTGCATGGGTGGTCGGACCGTCAAATAAAGCCATTTTATATGGATCTTTTAATAGTGTTTGTGGCCGTGTTTTCTGGGATTGGTGGCGGTGTTTGTTTGTTAAACAGCTTGTTATGGGAAAATTGGATGTGTTACCTGTATTTTGAATAAATTTCATTTTCGTTGAGAATGGAACTTTTACTATGTCCTTTTATATATGCCCTTAAATATTGTGATTTGCTGTTCATAAAACTTGTTACTTTACTCGATGTGAGCTTTTCGCAAGCAGGGATAATTTTGTGTTGAATTACAAAAAGAGGCGGGGTGGGGTAGATTGCGTCGAACCAGGCACGGGAGTGCTCCTGTTCTTCTGTGCAAATTCCTACGTAAATTGTAAATCGTTGGGGTTCATTGCTAAATGCTTAATCTTTCGTGACTGATTGGGGGAACACATATTTGTTGGATTTAGGAACGTTCTAAGCCAGTTATGGTATGACATGACTAATTCGGGTTCTCTAGGCTTTTCTAGTTCATTTCATGAACCAGGTAATTCTTAAATATGATACTTGATTACAAGAGGCTTAAGAAATAGGAGAAGCACGACTCCTGATCAGAAGGTTGGTAATCTGATTTGTGTTTGTTGAGTTATTGTGCAGCCGAGTGAAAACTGGAGTAGGATTGAGCCAGTAAGGTATACTTGAGCCGAGCAAGAAAGTCGAAAGAGCATTCTGACCAGATCAATGCTGAGAATCACCTCAAACGTGCAAAATATAAATCATAACACTTGGTCCTTATTCTGAAAAGACTTGTTTGGAATATGGGCATGGGAGGGGTTGAATGTGAGCATTGTTCAGGAACGTTAATTGCCTTCCTAGCTATCTCCTGCGGCGGATCATCCTCCCAACTGCCCCCCATTTCCTCCAACTCTTGCCTTAGTACCTGCTTTATGGCTCGGCAGCGGCATTCATTACCAAAAGCCAGAAACTCCAGACAGCTGCTGGTCTGTGATGCTGTTGGTAGAAATGTTTGCTGAGTTCCTCTCAGCCCCTCAATCAAGCGGTCCAGCTGCTGCCTCTTGAGCTGCTCTTCGCATGATCCGCCTGAGCTTTTCCGGGAGAAAGCCGACTCCTTGGATACCGGGGTTGACGGTGATGCTGAGTGGCAAAGACTCTGCACTTACGGTTGATACGGCAGCTATAAAAGTAGCCAGGCTGATCAACTTTGCCATTGCAATCATGTGATTCTTAGGTGGTTTTTTCCAACAAAAGAAAAAAAAAATTAAGCATTAATATGGATATTGGGAACTTGGTGATGAGATGGCTAGCAGTGCTACCTGGGGCTTAGGCAGGCTCTCTGGAGTAGGTTTCTTTTTGCCAGATGTCTATCGCACTTATGCTGCTATGTGATCTTTGATCGTTCGAGTACGATCTTATTTGGATTGCAGTTTTTCGTCAGAAAATTAGAAAATTACGTAATTTATGTGATCATATTTCTTTATTATTTTTTCCCCTTCATACATCAAATAATTTTTTCATAAAAAATCAGTAATTTTTTCATAAAAAATCATGAAAAATACAATCCAAATACAATCGTTTGACTGCATTGCATTAGAAACTAATAATTTGAAGTTCTCAGAAACTAAAGCAATTTGAAGGGAGAACGTGAATGTTTCTACCTTTCTGATAATTGTTTCTTCTATTAAAAATTAAAAAAAAATGAACAAAAAAATCTAGACATAAAAGCAAAACATGAAATGAACTTATTTTTTAAAGTGAGGAATCTTAAAATCTGATCTTTTAAATCAGAATCTAAAATCTGAATTCACGAGCACACTCGATAGATGAGCTGATGACAATTTTGAGCTTTTGAGCAATACTGTAGTCCTAAAGCCCTGCAGGATGCGCAAGGGCCAAGAACTTATATTATTTTCCTGAGATTTTGCTTTTTTATGCCATTAGCTTTTTATGAAAATTAAAATGACGGTCAAACAGTACTAGTTGTTCCAGTGATCTTGTGTCTTGGCGCATGACAGAAGTTAACAAATCCCGTTCACGCCCAATAAAGAGGGAAAATCACCACTGCTTGCGAATCTGAAGAAGGAAAATACGAGCATTTTCAGAAACAAGGTCATACTCACCTTGCCAGAAAACTACAAAGTAGGTAGGCACATAGCAAAACACACGATCATGTGCTTTTTATTAAACTACATTGGATTGGCATCACTTCAATCTCCAGCCAGAAAAGCCGGAAGCCAAGTGAACCTTGTTCATCATACACAAGTTAATTACTAGACGAAAACAGCTCCGATTTGGCACTCGCTGTGGTTCCAGGTTGCACTTGCGAGGGAGGTTTTTAGCCTTCTGTATAACCTGCTGCTGCATCTCCTCCCCTTGCCAGCCTCCACCTTGCTGCAGTTGCTGCCTCACAACGTACATAACCGCCTCGCACACGCACTGCTCGTCGAAGTTCTCAAGGGTCTGGCAGCAGGGCCGGAGGTGCTCCTCTTGTTGCCCCGGCAGCGGGTACATGCGCAAGTCAGAAGGGCTCATCTGAGACAAGTATTGCTGGCAGTGCCAGAGCTGCTGCTGCTGCTCTTGGATTTTCTGCTGGCATCTCTGCGACTGCCCTCCTTGTCCTGGGTCCTCCTCATCCTCCAGCACAGTGGTGGTTATGGTAGTTCGGTGGGCCGTGGCTGAAGCAATAGCCAAAAGGGCCACCAGCAAAATTGCTGCAAGGACTGTGAGCTTTGCCATTCTCCTCACTTTCTGCACTAATCACCCTTTTTTTTTTTCCTTAATGCTTGAGAAGTAGAGTGGGGTGAGTGGTAGGAGTCGGAGGATGAGGGGGATTTTATAGAAGAGCTTGACCTCTGCATGTTCGACGAGTGGAGAAAATTTGGTAGAATTGAGGGAGATGGTGAGATGCGGAGGATTGGATCGGTGGACTTGTGATGAGGTGTCGATCGATTCTTGATTCAAGGCTACACGTTGATGCCCTTGCGAATGCTGCCATACATAATGTATCAGCATGCAGGCATTTTGTTTTATGCGATCATCAAATGGGGCGCTTTCCACCTCGATCTCGTGAATTCATTTCAACAATGCATCTTTTGAGCTGGTTGTATTAGGATTTAGCAGAAGCAGGGAGCACCTTACTAGCAGACGTACGTGGAGGATGGAGAGGGTAGGAAAATACAGGTGCGATGCAGAGACTCGAGAGGGTTACTGAGGTGGCTCAAATGTGGAACACCTACCATCCATTTCCTGCAGAATTCTGTTTTTCTTTGCTTTTTGGTGGCGCACAAATGAATTGAATAAAGCCAGAGTTGTTGTTTGGTCCCCATTTAAATTGTACAGCTACTTGGTTTGATCATCAGTGACTCAGCGGCACACAGAGACGAGGCAATCTTTGGTTTTGCTGATACATTAACACGCAAAGAAATCTATGTCAAGGGATCTTCATGGTACACAGATAGATTTGTTTGTGAAAGAAGACTGGAATAATCGTTTGGACATTGGATCTCTGTGATCGTCCATCTGCAGTATTTCTGTTCCTAAGGAGCTTTAAAGTTTAAACTCTGACGCTAATCAATTTACAGCCATACCTGCTAAGACCGTCATGATTTACCCGACCGATTGAGAATGAAAAGGTTGAGACTACCACAATCTTCAATTCTACATGACAAATTGACAAATTGAGATTCAACGGTTGTGATAATTTTCTGGTTAAATTATTTATTACTAGGAGAGGAACACCGCACTATGTGCTGTGTGAAGTTACAAGTTTAACATGCCCAGTGGAAAGTTAAAAAGCTAATACGACCAGAGCCCTCACTGGCTTTATTCTTCCAACAATAAATTTTTTTTTTTTTTGTTTATCATTTTCTGTATGTGGTAGATAATGAAGCATTTTGTCAACATTTCAATTAAGAAAAGAAATAACACTAATAAAGTTGAAGAGCATAATAACACATAATTGAGGTAAGCTCACCAACTGTACGATGCATCTCATTACCTGTGAAAAGTTACAATTTAAGATATAAGATACATTCATCCAGAAATATTGACTGTCATATCTAGAAATGCCTCTCGTCTTTCTTATCTTCCGTCGCGTTCAATCAGCCAATTATAGTGAAACTATGTATTAGTGGTCAAAATTTCAAAAAAAAAAAAAAAGCATCACAAAGTTTGATATCTCTACTATAGCAAGTGGCTGTTGAAGTAACTAATGACTTCTGGTAAAGATATTGGAAAGGACAAAACAAAGTATCAAGCATTCATGACAAAACTCCATAAGCTTCCATTAGCTTCCAAGTTCCAGCTATCCAAATATCAATCAGATCTGCCAAAAGGAATCATATTAGAATTTAATAACATTTTTGTAAATAGTAGAATGACAATCTTGTTAAATCACAGGTAACGCACCCGTAGTTTTTGCCACACTTTATTGCAAAATTGTAAGGAAATAGTAAAACATGAAAATAAACAAAGTCGTCAAGAACACATTCCCTACTCCTAAGTTTGAGCCACCATTAATAATACCTCTTGCCATTCAACTTTTCTCAAACATTAATTTTGGATATATAAATAAAGAATAGAAAGCCAATAAACAACAGATGCATTTTGAGCCACCATCTTATTCGGATAAATACCTCCTGCCAACCAATTTTTTCTCAAATGAATGCTAGGTAAACAAATAAAGAACAGAAAATAAAAAACAACATATGCATTTTAGCCTATAAATCATGTAGTTATATTTCATTCATGCCACATTTTTGCCAAGACAACATGAATGAACATAAGACATCAATTTAAACTAAAAGAAAATTTTCTTTTCTTTCTAAAAAGCTCAATGACAGAACAAAAAGCTCCAAAAAATAAAGCAAAAGCTACAGAGAAATTTCAATATATTAGTTTGATATTTGTTAAGAGTTTACTTTTTAAATCCTGAAACGCATTTTATTCTTATGTAATTCTTAGATTTTAATTTTCTTTTTTACATAAAGGTGTTAGAGAATTCTAGTTGCCTAATTGAGAAAAGGTGGATACAAGAATTTGTTGCAGATACAGGAATTTGTATTTCACCCACCAGCAAAGAGGGAAAATTTGTTTTTTGCATAGAAAGAAGAGGGAATAGTTTTTTTTCTTTGATAGAAAGGATTGGAGCACTCTTGACATGAGATAACTCCAGCAAGACATCTTCCCATCCATTAAATGCCAATCTCACAATTTATCATTTGTTCATTATCTTGCTCAAAATAATCATTTATTTTTCAACCACACATACACATACATAAAAGAAAGCCTTGTTCCATTGTTTCCACTTGACCAGATGTTTAGCAAAAAAATAATAATAATTGAAGCACAAGATAAAAGAGACAAGAAAAAGAAACAAACATGAAAATGCTTACTTCTCTAGTTCTTAAAAACCCAGGGAGCCATAAGGAATACCCTTTGTGAGTTAGGAGTTTAACAAACATTTTGCATGGAAGAAAAGACATGAAATTACTAAAAGGAAAAACCTACCAATAGTTGTTGTTCATTCTTCTTCTATCACATAACTGCCATTAAAACAAGAAGCAAGTTTTAGAATAGGGATAAAAAAGAAAACTGTAAAAACAGTTATTAAGTTAATAATCACTTCGTGAATAAAATAATGTCAAAACATCCATTAAAATCACAATCATTTCGTCTTCAATCTTCTTATCATCTTCCACTTGAAGAAAGAAAATGAAAAACACGGCCATCTCTCCAAGTCCAACATAATCTACTTAAAAAATATATTGAAAAAGTCAGCTAAAATCCTTACGAAGATATAAAAAAAGAAAAGAAAGAAAAACCATGACTTGCATTCCATATAGTGATTGAGAAAGTTTAGAAAATTTTTAGGAAAACAAACACAAAGACATAGCATGCTTTTTTTGTGAGGAAAAAACCACTACATGGTGCTGAACTAAGACCAGAGGTTTTCTGGATTATTATGAAATGAAGGGCTAAATGGATACCTGAACCCACTTGAAGTAATTGACTGTAAGACCTCCGGAATTTGCCTATATGTCTGGGAGTATAACAACTCCCTTCTTTGTTAATATCTGTAAAGTAAAGCCAAGGTTAGTTAAGTTGCTTCCCTGCACATGTTATTTTTGCTTTGAAACACTATGCCTTTTGACCTCCATACTAACCTCATCTGCCTCTGGATTAGTAGGATGATTAGCTGCCTCGATTACAAATTTGGCTTTAATATCTTTTGCATTAATCATCTTCAAGCAAAAGATAATAGGTACTGCTAGTGTAACTCAAAATTTTGATCAATGATTAACTTGACAGGGAAGTTCCTGATTCCCTGAGGAGAAGTATATTCATCAAGTGCTGAAAACCCAATGAAGAAAAGGGAACAGGAAGAACTGAAGCAAATAGAAAGACATTTTAAAGATCAAAAAATCTATTTTAAACAAGCGAATCTTTTTAGTTACCATATGGATTGCTTTTTTTGAGCAGGAGATCAACAAAACACCTGCACAAAAGACACAAGAAAATGACTAAAAAGAAAACTCGAAAAGAGCAAATGCCAAAGAAAATGGCTAATAAGAAAAGCATACCATCATTTGAGGTTTGAAGAGAGCAATTTAAAGAAAAAAGTTAAATCAGACTAATAAAACAAAACTTACATTTTTCCCACAGCAGTTGCCTTTCACGGGTGGTCATTTTTCCTCCCTGCTGCAGAAGAAATCCAAGAAAGGCAAAATTGAAAAAGAAAAATAGAAAAATAAAAATCAAGTAGGTACAAAAAATAAAGTAAATAAATATCTAAAAGCTAGCTAATAATCAATTATTCACCATCTTAGATCATATTAAAAGTTTTTCTGAACTAAAAATAAAAAACTGAAATGCAAACAAATACATTAATCACAGAAAGAAAAGGGAAGAAAAATTACCATATCTGTATTCTACAAATTCGCATAGATAGTCGGGACAAAATATTGAACTTCCCTTTCTCGCTGTTTCTGAAAAAGACACGAAAGAGGAAAGAAAAATTGATTGTTTTTTGCCAAGAAGATGGCAGAAAAATAGAAAAAATTAGCTATAATCACTCGAGGGAGGGAGGAAGGAGATGAAGAATAACAAGAGGGAGAAATGGGAAAAATCGATAGAGGAAAGAGGGGGAGATTACCAGCCACTTTTCTGCCTTGAGCCTATCGTCCAACAACTCTATCAGAAGAAAAAAAATCTGGCCCTTAAAGAGTTATAGAATGACAGGTTTTACAAACAAAGCAAGCAAAAGGGAAAATGTATAAACAACAGATTATCCCAAAACTATATGCAAGCAAAGGAAAAAGAAGAATTAAAAAAAATGCACAATATCATACAAAAATAAACTGCATTTGAATATGCAGTGAGCAAACAAAGAATGGAAGGTTGTTAGAAAACAAATTTAAGAAAATAAAATGAAGCTTCCTAAATGCCAAAAGAATTCAGTTAAGATTTAAGAATATTATCGAATCAATTTGCCAAGCGGCCAAAAGAACGAGATAGCGCAAAATATTCTGCTAACGAGGCCAAGGAAAAATATGCATGTAAATGTGAAAAGAAAAAAAATAAGAGCATGTGATTTATTTCAGGAACATTGATATGCTTTTTCTATTTTCTTCCTTAAACTGAAAGGGTTCAACATGAGAAACAATGTTAAAGAATACACCTTTTTTAGAAAATAACCTTATAGAATTTACCTTCGAAAGGGAAAAACAAGGCTTAGAAAACCGCATGAAGATGGTGGAGGAAATTTCCAGATTATGTACCTACAACATCACAACATAATAAAAGGGAAAAAATTAGACACCTAATCTGGTAAATAATAGGAGGAAAAAAAAATCAAAAGGCTAATAAAGATGCTTCAGAAAAAAGAAGTAAGAAGAGTTTTTGAAGTAAAAAAGATTCCAGCCAGTTTTTTGATTTTGTTTATGTCCATTAGAAAGGGAAAAAAATTGTAAATTATAGTAGGAAAAAAAGAACTAAAAGACTAATAAAGATACTTTGGACAAAATGAAGCAATGAGAGTATTTGAAGCAAAAAGTTCCAGCCAACTTTTTGATTTTGTTGTTGTCTATCAGAAAGAAATTCAAGAGAGAAAAAGTGCAACTTTCTTTGTGATGCTATTACAGTATAAAAATGATACGAATCACTAATTTCGAAAAACAAAATTACAGAACACGGAGAGGCAAGCCAAATGAGGAAGTTCAGAAACCTTCAAGATTTCTCAAGCCTAGGGTCAGAGACCTTGTTTCAGGATTTCCTGATTCATTAGCAATTTTTATACCTCAGAAATCACATACCCACCTTTCCTATCATTTAAGAGTCCTCAATATCGTCAATATAAAAAAAATTCTTGTAGTAAGAAACCATTGATAATAACCCCAGCAGGGCCTCGTATGGTTCTACTTTGACCATCAAGTAAGATTACTTTCAAAATTTTTCAATACAAAAAAATTATACTTCAAGCATTTTAAACTACCAGTAATTTAGAGCAAATTATACTAAGATAAGGATATTTGCAATAAAAATATTTCATATTTGAAACTTAATTAATCAATAGTGGATTAAACAGATAAAAATGCACACTTTATGTGTGTGTGTGTGAGAGAGAGAGGACCCTTGCATATGATATTTGGAAAGCTTTCGTTTTGCTCTATTGGAACCATTCACTCCAAGCCTGCAAATTTTCTGTCAAATTCGCCTCTTAATTCTCCATCTATACCCTAACAATAACAAATAAACAAATAACACAATAAATCAATGTATACAAATACATAAAACGACACTCCATATTTTTCTGAAAAATCCTAGATTTCTTGGAGCATATTAGTTAAAACATCCAGACACGAGATGGGGTTCCAAAATTCTAACCTTAGGATTTATGCAAAATCTTGACGGTAAAGGCTTATTTAGATCTCAAAATCTAACCTGAAAGCTTTTCCAACATATACATTCCAGAGGATTCCACTACCAGTTGCTGAAAAATCAGGCAGTAACTTAGGAAGGAAATAGAAAAACAAAAGAGACTCACTTTATAAAAAGGGAAAAAGTTACACAACCTTACTCTCATTGAGATGCTGGAGGCTGAAAGACATTTCCAATTTTTTGCACCTGCAATAGCAAAGATATATAAAAATTAATATATAAAAATTTGACCGCTAAAAACCCCCACAAAAAAAAGATCCAAATGCTTAGAGAGAGAAAAAAGAGAGATTACAAACCCAAAAAAAATCCCAACCATCCTCCTTGTTGTAGTTGTTCTCAGTTAAAATCGAAAAGAAAAGAAAAAGATGAAGAAGATGAGAGAAATGGGGGATAATTGATGAAGAGGAAGATAAGGTAAAGAGAGACGATGATGGAAAAAATGAAAGAGAAAAAAACCGTTTCTTATTTTTTTCAAGCCAACAAAACTCCCAGTAATTGGAAGATGAAGAAAACCATCTTGGTCATTGTTGTTCTCAGGTGGAAGATGAAGAAGAAGAGAAAAAGTTGCTCTAAGAGGTTTAGAGAGTGACGGTCGATGAACAAATAGGGAAAGAGGAGACTTTTGTTGCATCGAGCCCAACTCCCTGTCAAATCCCATAAAAAAAAACTGTTATGGAGAGAGGAAGTGGTTTAATTATCCCCAAAAGGCTGTCAAATTATCAAGTCCCGACAAACAACAAACAAAGAAACAAAAGGATTGCTAAATGTCTGAGCAAACAAAAGAATTAACGTGTAGGAATGAACGACCATCAATTGGAAATTCGTACGGGCCGAACGACCATCAATTAGTCAATACCAGCGCGCCACGTCAGCAATTAGAATTTAATTGAAAACAACGACATTCGCGCATAGATTAGATATGTTAATAAATTGTATGTGAAATAAAACTATTTATGATTGCGAATCAAACACTCAAGTAAGCTAGAGGACACTTGCACAGGAATGGGGTCCTAAGACTTGAGGCATAATTTCCATATATCTTTATCTTTTTTTTTTTTTTTTTTTGGTTTTTAGTTGAAACTTTAGCAGCCCTCTTTAACCAACAAAAAGAAAAAGGAAAAAAAAAAGAAAAAACCCTCATCTTGTGTAATGACATCCCTGCCCCCACCCAACTTTTTCTTTTTCTTTCTTTTTTTCATAATTATATTATGTGGGCTAAATAGGGCTGTCAACGGTCCGGGTCTGAACTCGGACCCGGCCCGGACCCGGACCCGTCTATATTTTCCTGGTACGGATAGAGATATAGACCCGCGACCCGGACCCATTTTATCTAATAAAATTGCGGGTCGAATACGGAATATACAATTCCGACCCGTATTCGATCCGAACCCGTTTTAATTAATTAATAATTAAAAATATATAGATATCTATCATAATTATTCATATGTATTTCCAAAATTTTCTAACCCTAATACCCATTCCCCACCGCCGCACACCGCACATCCCTTCTGGTTTCTTCCCCTCAGTCCCTCACACTCTTTTCTCTTTTGCCTTGCCTCCCGTAGTCCCGTGTCCGCCGCCTCCGCTAGAGTCCAGACGCCAGTGAAGTGAAACCAGCGACGCTGTCTGACTCTCTCCATCTCCAGCTCCAAAGAAACCGCCGGATCTGGCCATCTCCAAGGAAGCCCAGCTCTTGCAGAGTTGCAGTCTCACTCTCTCCTCATTTCCGGTGAACAATTGAAGAAGACCGCGACCCACAAACATTTTCCTCTCCGTAGTCCGCACCAGGTATGTGCTTCCTTGGAAGAGGACATGGGCAGCAAAATGTTCATACCAGCAGAAACATCATATCCTTGGAACTGAAGTTCACGGTACTCTTGGCACAAGGCGCAACGCTCGCAACAGAAATGAAGGATACAATCATGGCATGAGCCTCCCATAATACCGTATTGTCGCCTTATCTTGGTGCGATAGCCCATGCTAACAATCTGGGCACTAAAAGGATTTGGGACCCGCGGGTTCGGTAGAAATAACAAGGACCCGTCGGGTATTCGGGCCGAATTCGAAATTAATCCAGTATAACGGGTCCGGGTTTCGATTTATTAATTTCGGCCCGAACCCGGCCCGTTGACAGGCCTAGGGCTAAGGGCAGAAGAGGGCATGAATCTCGTTGCCTCTAAACCTTGGACGGATGGATGGATGGATGGCTGGTATGCGACCGACCTGACTTTTAACAACGTGGGGGCCACCATAATAAGTCTTTATAGCCTTCCAGATCCATCTCCCTCTCTCTATTCTTTTTCTCCTGTGCACTGACTTTATCGCTTTTCCTCTATCAGCTCAGACCTCGTCCCGATTACTTTGGGGTTTGCTTCGATTTCCTTGATCATACCCGACCCGAACCCCAATTTTCTGGATCAGGTATCTTCTCCTGCCTCTTCTGATCTTCTTAGATCCATGCAATTTCAACCCTTTTTTATGGTCTCTTATCTGTTAAAGGTCTGATTTTTTTCCCCTTGTGTCTCGTATTAGTTTGTTGACCTTCTTGTTATTATTATTATTATTTTTTTGCGATGGGTTTCTTTTCTTGTTTATAAAATTGTTATTTTGGTAGCTAGAATTGGGTTGTTTGGCTAATTTGTGCTTTTGGGCTACTTTTCTCCTGAAGAATTAGAATCTACAACTGTTTTCTTTGATAATCGTAAGAATTCAAATTTTCATTTATGGCTTAAAACGGTTTCTTTGGTCACGATTGGTCTAAAGATTTGTCGTTTGCAGAGTTTCAGTAGGATTTTGGAAGAACCCTTAAAGAAGTTCAAGGTTGTCTGTTTTGCATGATTTACTATGTAATTTGGGTTATTTTGTTCCTTTTATTTGAATGATCAGGCTCGTAAAAGGTTTGATCAATGATAATTGTTGGAAAGATTCCTGCTTTTCAGACTTGGTTATCATCTCGGAAGATTATTTGAGAGAATTAGGTCTTAAAATCGTTTATTTAGGAGTGCTAATTGCCAAAAGATTTGTTATTTGCTGATGTAGATGTAAAGTTGGATGAAAGCTTACAGCTTTCCTTTTGATCTCTCGTTTTCTGCTACTAAGTAAATGAATACTGATTAAGGATTCCCTTGGTGGATTTTCTTTACATGATCTTTGGCCTCACCCTCTGGATTTCGGTGTTTGAATATGTATGCCTCTTGGATACCCTGTGAGTATCATAGGTTTTTTGTTTACTATTGGGTGTTTTCAATGTAAACTTTCTAGCATCCTCATCTTGGTTGTATCTGTTTATCTTGTGGGTGGTAGGTTTAAGGTTGTTGATCCATTTGTCAAGATATAAGTAAATAAGAAAGGGTAATTAGTTTGAGATTTCTATCCACCCTTCGCTTTACTAATTCTGTTTTCACTTTCTAATTAAAGATAACACAAGTTACAGGAATCTGATATGAAATGGGGGAAATTCCATAAATTCATCTTCTCACCAAACAGCTTGTTACGTGTTGTAAATTTCATATTTGGAATCTGGAAATTGAATCTGAAATTAATTACTTTACTTATCTGGCTTTTGTTATTGCATTGAAGTTAGTCCTTTTGACTATTGGCTGATGGTATCACTTATCCTCTCATGTAGGTCTGAGCACATTTTTATCCGTTAGCAGATCTTTTGTGTCACTTGCATCTTTTATCTGTTAGCAAAGTTTCATGTCTGAATTCGATCTCCAGACTCCAGCTGCTTTTGGTATGTTGCACCTTTATTTTCGTTTCTTTAAGAACACAATTACTTTTCTGATCCTGTTGTGTTGTTTCTGGTACATAAGCGACAAGGCAGTAGTTGTATATAAGTTAAAAACACATGATATGGTACAATAGAAAAGCTGCCTATGTGTTGCCACTAAATAAACTTTGGGCAGGGAAATCTAGAATTCTTCCTTTCTGCCTTGCTATGCTGTTGACATAATTTATGGGGTGCTTTTTTAGACCCTTTTGCTGAGGCCAATGCTGATAACTCGGGTGCTGGGTCAAAGGATTATGTGCATATCCGTATCCAACAACGTAATGGTAGGAAAAGCCTGACTACTGTGCAAGGGTTGAACAAAGAGTTCAGTTACAATAAAATCCTGAAGGACCTCAAGAAAGAGTTTTGCTGCAATGGTACTGTTGTCCAAGACCCAGAACTAGGCCAGGTCTGTTTCATTGACACTGCATAGGATAGATGTGGCTTTTAACCGGATATTTCTTCTAATCTGTAAATTTTCTCGTTATTGTGAAGGTCATTCAACTCCAAGGGGATCAGCGTAAGAATGTTTCAAGTTTCCTTGTTCAGGTGGTCTTTCCAAAGCCCAAGCATTTAATTTGTGCCATTTTCGTTCGCCTCTTCTTCTTCCCCCCTTGTTATCTTTTCATTTCCCGTAGGTTATTGATTTATTTATGCTATTGCCTATGACTCGGAGCAATTTTGTTGGGTTGGTGGGCATATGATTTCTTCCTTTTCCTGCTCTTTTGAGGGTCATTTTTCTACACTCCAGCTGACTTTTTGTCTTTTTGAATTTTATGGCCTTTAGGCTCAACAGAGCATATAACAACTTGTGATCCTGTAGTTTATTGAAGTTTTGAACACGGATAAAGTTGTGATGTTTTCTTTCTTGGAACAGGCTGGGATCGTAAAGAAGGAACACATAAAGATTCATGGTTTTTAACTGCCAACAGCAAGTGAGACAGTGTGCATTCATCGGGTGTCAGTGCCAGCGTATAGTAGTATCTGATATGCTATTGTAAACTTTGAAAAATTTTATGGTGTGGTTAGATATGTATGCAGTGTGTGCTGTTGTGATGGGATGCTTCTTATTTCCGAGGTTTATGCTAAATAATTGTGACTTGTGCCTGGCAAACATCATTCAGTCTTGTCTTGTCTTGTCTTGGTTTCTGATTCTCCATAATCTGCTATTACGTGGGTGGAAAGAAACTCACCTCCCCTCGTTGCCTGTTTGAGTACCGATGGACAATTCACTTGTGTAAGTTTGCTCCTTGCAAGGATGACATTGATGATTTGAAGCTACTTTGGAAGTATTTCTTGTTCCGAACCAAATAAAAGAAAAAGACATTTCTGTTTTTAAATTTCCCCGTCGACCTGAGGGTCTGATTCTTTTGTTCCCCATCGACAAAAATGGCTGAATTGCATTGAAACTTCACACTGTGGCGTAGTGAATATGGTGATCGGATTCACGAGTACCACTTCCTGACAGCAGAAATGCAACGAAAATGAAGAATAGCCAATAAAGTATGAGCAGGCGTAGTCCCGGCAATGTCTTAACCAATGATGGCATATGGGCTGGACTATACCACGAGGATAAGGTAAGGGCGATGGGGGAAAGTGATGGGTCGACCCAATAAAAAAGCGATTAAACTGGAAAGCGATGCCAAGGTGAGAGAAGCTCAATTTTGGTCATCCTTGCTCCTGCTGTCGTGTTTCCTTGCGGGACCGAACACAAATGTGTAATTTTTCGTCATCATCATCTTTCTTGATGTTAAAGGTGTTTAGGGCTTGTTACCTTGACATATCATGTTGATGGCGAAGAGTGAATTTTAAAGACAAAAACGATACTAAGCCCCGCGTTTTCTAACCTTGTGGCAAATGCTATGCTTTTTAAGCGCATTTTTAGGTCATCAGAAAAAAAAAGTGTGTGATTCCCAGCGGATGAAGGAACTCCGTAATTGCAGATTATATCGACGGACGGAGTGAAATTTTTCTAGATTCAATTGTTTTGGAATTTGGATCACGGCTCTAAAAGCATAAAATATTTCTATAATCTTTTACTCCACTTTGATCAACTTTAGTGCATGCTTGAACGTCACAAGAAGACATCTTCAACCAAAAAAAAAACAATAACAAAATCTTCACAAGTGTATTGAACGAGAAATGGACAGCAAATCAGTGTCACGTGATGCATGCAAAAAAGGACAAAATCCAAGCACAGATATAGTGACGCGTCTACCTACCCCTTTTTTCTTTTTTGTTAGCTTGTATAACTTGTTCTATCCTAATCTAGGGGGGGGAGGGAGAGCCTGAGGAGACTATGGTAGAGATTAGTGGGTATACAGATCCAACTAAATCAAAGGAGTGTTATGGCACAACTCTTAGATTTTTTTCGCTGCTGGTGAGGTTTGAATCCTCACCAACAGCCCAAGAAGGGATTTACTTAGGTTGTGTTTAGATTGCATTTTTCATAATTTTTCATGAAAAAATACTGTAACGATTTGATGTATGTAAAGAAAAATAATAATAAAAAAATATAATTACGAAATGACGTAATTTTTCAACAAAAATTACCAATTCAAACAAGGCCTTAAGTCCCTCCCTAAACTTACTACGTGTTGGACTGAAATGGCCACATTCTATGAATCCGGGATACATACTTGTGAGAGCACACTATTTTTATTTTTACGTAATTCGTTTTTTAAACCATTAAAAAATCCTCAAATATTCATTACTACAATCATTCCATACATCAATTATTCCGTAAAGTGTACTTGTTCTGTTCAGGGCGACCTTGTCAAGATTGCATCTTTTCCAAAAAAATTCTTACATTTTTCATGCATATATTATTCAATCACCCTCTAATTTTATATACGTAAAATTGCTACGATATAGTATATATTTATATTTTTTTTTACAACAGATCCATCGCTAGTTTGCTACAGTTTAATTTTCTAGAGAAACTCCAAATAATACCAATACAAACGAATCCCTATCTTCCTGCAGGCGATACAGCCAAAGTGATCCTCACTCAGAAGCGTCAAACTATAGTGCAGGCAGGCAGGGTTTTTGCTTGGGGTAAATTCAGGCTTCCAGTTGTGTGTGAATCCATGGCAAGCATGGCAACAGCAACCTTCACCTCCACTCTTTCATCCAAGCCTAGAACAACTCTCTTTGGGAATTCCCGCTCATCCTTCCATGGACTACCTGTATCTTCATCTCCTCATCTTCAGCCAATTAAATCAACCCCGCAAAATTCCTCCTTAATCTCCATGTCTGCCTCGGCTACTCCCCCCTATGATCTCCAATCTTTTACGTTTGATCCCATCAAAGAATCCATCGTTTCTCGTGAGATGACTCGCCGGTACATGATGGACATGATCACCTATGCTGACACTGATGTTGTCATAGTTGGTGCTGGATCTGCTGGACTTTCTTGCGCTTATGAACTCAGCAAGAATCCTTCTGTCCAGGTGTGTTCATCATCTATTCTCCTTTGCGTATAAAATTAACCTCCCATAATATCCCTCTTTGTTAATCAAGATTTATCTCCATCTTGGGCTATTTGTGCTCATTTATATCATTCATCGGATACAAGTTGCAATTTTGAGATTATCTCATAAGCACTTAATGCTCCTTCAGTTTCATCATCCTACTATCCTAGTGGGACTTTGGCTTTTGAGTTAAATCCTAGTTTTCTCATAATCATTTCGTTACTTTATTAAAATTAGCATATGGCAGTAGGATTTTTGCCAACTTTTTTTTTTTCTCTGATTCAGTTGTGCAAGTGGAAAATATTACTAGGAAAAGAAAAAACGAAAATGTTCCTTTGACTAAAACGGAATTTTAGTGTTTGTCCAAAACATGTGCAGGGTTGTTCTCTGTATAATTTTGCATGGGCTCTATGCAATTGCGTATATATCAAAAAAAGATATGGTCCCAGATATTTCTGTTCGAAAATTATGTATTTTTCTAGCTAGATTAATTATCTTTACAAGCAGATCTTGGTTTGTTAATGTCCTTGTTCTCTTCTGTACATTTAGGTGGCCATAATTGAGCAATCCGTGAGCCCTGGTGGTGGTGCATGGCTAGGCGGACAACTCTTTTCAGCTATGTTTGTCGGAAGCCGGCACATCTTTTCCTTGATGAGCTTGGTGTTGACTACGATGAACAAGACAATTACGTTGTGATAAAACATGCAGCTTTGTTCACTTCAACCATCATGAGCAAACTTTTGGCTAGGCCAAATGTGAAGCTCTTCAATGCTGTTGCAGCAGAGGACTTGATAGTGAAGGGGAGTAGAGTTGGGGCGTGGTTACCAATTGGGCTCTGGTTTCAATGAACCATGACACACAGTCTTGTATGGATCCTAATGTTGTGGAGGCTAAGGTTGTGGTGAGTTCTTGTGGGCATGATGGCCCCTTTGGTGCTACTGGTGTTAAGAGGCTCAAGAGTATTGGCATGATTGAAAATGTCCCTGGCATGAAAGCGTTGGACATGAATGCAGCTGAGGATGCAATTGTGAGGCTCACAAGAGAAATTGTGCCCGGGATGATTGTCACTGGTATGGAAGTTGCTGAGATTGATGGAGCACCAAGAATGGTATGTAAATCTTGGTCATTTTACTATAAATCAAGTATAACTGGATCAAAATTCAAACTTTGATGAAGCATCATTGTTTTCTAGTCTTTATGAGAGTGATGAATAATTTGGCCTTCAATGGAAGGTTTAGGATACATGATTAAGTTCATTGTGATGATTCAGGGGCCAACATTCGGAGCCATGATGATATCAGGGCAGAAGGCGGCCATCTTGCATTGAGGTCCCTGGGCTTGCCTAACGCATTAGATGGAACATATGCGGGAAGTATTCACCCTGAGCTAATCCTTGCTGCCGCTGATGCTTCAGAGACCGTGGACGCCTGAGTGTAGAACACTAGAGAACTAAAGATGAATGAATGAAAACAAGAGGTAGTAATGTATATAAATAAGAGCGATGGGTTTGGAGATTTGCAACTTTCAAACGAATGAATAAATTTCTGGGACTATAGACGTGATGATTATCAATGTAGCTGAAAGTTGTATGTGAAAAAGTGGTATTGGAGCTTCGCAGTTCTTAATCGTTGTGTTTTCATGGTCCTTTTATTTTTTCATCCCTCTTCAATTTCGACTTTCTGTAGGTTGAAATTTTATGTTCCAAAGGAAATCTTGAAAATTTTGAATTTAGGAACCAAAGAAAAATTTAAAGTTTTTGACAATGTTGTTAAACTGAATTGGAGGGTGACTCGCTAAACAAATGAATTTGGGATCAATTGGTCGGATTGGTTGAACTGTTTTCGAAAATTCATTGATATCATCGTGATGTCATAATTATTTATATTTTTATAGGTTTCAGAAATATTGAAATTATCTTGTTAGTTACAATAAGCCAATCATACGAAATATTTTGAAAATATTAGACTTGCAATTAAATATACATCTAATAATTATATATAAAAATATAAATTCATGAATAAAATATGTCTATTCTTTAAAATTACATGAAAAACTTAGTTGAAACAAATTAACACGAGTTGGAATGAGTGATACTAAATTGATAAGATGATAGAGATGAAATATTTTGATTTAGAAATTATTCAGAAAGCGAGTAATTTTGATATTTATACTAAGTGGACGGTGTTCCTATTCCTATTAATAAATGAAAGTGTTATAATTTAAGTAACTCGAATTATGTTTGAGAAAACAAAAAAAAAGTTTGAAAATTGGGTTAATCAGTCGAATCGGATCATTGCTTTAATCTACTTTTGGTTTTGCGTTATAAACCAATTCGAAAAGAAGATCGGTTCACGATCGGATCAATCAGACTGATTGATCCGATTCGGGTCTAACCACACTGGTTTTTGGGGTGATTATGCTTGGGAGGTACAGCGAGTCGAAAAAATTGAAGCTGGGATCCGGTTCCAGCGTCCCTTGCTGCCGGCCGAATTCATCATATTGATTGTATATGATTTCAAAGAGCATCTACAGTTTCTTGCGTTTAATCGCACGAATGGGGGATGGTGGCGTTTTCATTGCACCAATAATCCTGAGTTTTAAGTGTGTTCTTTGTTTAAGGTAACATGTTTTGACTGTTGGCGTCAGTAAACAAGCATTCCGGTCAGCTTTTACCTTTCTTGAGTTGCCATTTGGAACATAGATAATTAATTGTAATTAATTAAAATGGATGCATTTTTGATATGGAATACAACTGTAGAAGGACCAAGACATTGAATTTTCAACCTTATCACCTGATCGTCCTACCAACCACAATGAAAGTAAAAAAGCGTTCCCATGTTTTTCTTCGTCATTATCGCCATCAATCAAGTGCTCTCCAATTTTGTCAAAACCCAACAATAGCTTTTCCTTAAAGTTGACATGCGTCCTACATCTTAGAATGGATTCTCCTGGGGATCGATCATGATGGTGCCTTCCAGGTCTGCATACTGGTGGAGCCTAAGTCGCAATTTCTTTATATAATAATACTAATAATCTAGTCTTGAAATATGATCAGCTACTTTTTAATCAGCAATTAAAGGTGGGTATGTACGTGTACCCTATGAACTGAAATTTTCCCCGCTTTACCGTTCAGTGAGTTAACATAGCGTATATACTCCGCTAATCTGTAATGGTTATGGGCATTAATAATGCATTTGGCGCTGATTACTGTGAAACTTAACGAATACTCCCCCCTTTTTTTATAATTGACGTTTAAGAAATTTGCTCTAGCGTACTTTTATCTGTCGTTTTATTATCTCCATACAATATTAATTATTTTTTCACAATTTTACCCTTTTATCTCTCTTTTCCAATACAGGGTTCTTAATTACTACTCCTAGTAATTATTGCTTCTCTCTTTGTAACAATCCTAGTAATTATCTGCCCCTCCGTATTCTAGTGAGAGAAAATATGGGTGAATTGGACAATTAATGCGAGTGCAAAAGGAGAGTAGTGTACAGATTTAAGCAATGAAAACTTTTCTTAATTGGTGTGCAAAATCTTAAACGTCAGTTATAAAAGAAGGAAGGGGGTATTATATATCGTGATTCAAGTAATCAATTCATCAACCTTTGTCGGGTGTTTCTTTCCACTAGTCATTTTCATGAGAGTGCTCTGGCAGATTCTTTTTTTTTTTTTTGTTTCTGAGGTGAAATTTTCCTAATTAAAGCCGAGAGAATGGAAAAATTGTCTAACCCTTGCCATATTTGTCTTCCGAAAGGTTTCAGGGATCATGATGGCATGTGATGTGGAAAAAATTTAGCTGGTCAAAACCGAGTATATCTTTGGCACATCTCTAGCGATTTATATTCATAGTAGCAGTTCTCTAGCTATATAGCCAGAGGCAAGAAGCTCCAAGCTACCTACCATGTTGAATCACACAATCATATAGATAGTAGAGAGACCCCATGACTTCTGCCTACCATCCTCTGTTGAATCCTACTAACAGGACGATAACAAACTGCAAAACCTTCTACTTTGTCATCGCAATATGCGTAGTTACTGCATTAGTGATCTTTTCTACTAATCGTCTTAATCCACATTTAATCGGATACAGCAGTAGCAGCCACTCTGATCTATCATCACTCTCTCCAAATATATGCCACCAGTCCCATGATCCCCAAGAATGTTTAGCATTTGTCTCGGAAGTAGTCTGTGATGGTGTGGCACAACAAAAATGGGCCAATTCTTCTCAAGAAATTCTTGAAGAAGTATGTTCATCGCATGAACCATGCAATTCTGGAGACACAGAAAATCATGAATCAGATCAATGATCAAAATGAGCAAGGGGCCTTGGAGGACTGCCTAGACCTACTTGATCTGTCCGTTGATCGTGTTACTGACTCAATGATGGCTCTAGGCGGCGGTACCACTAGGATATCATATCTCAATGTGCAAACATGGCTCAGTGGTGCGCTCACTAATCATGTTACCTGTTTTGATGGGCTTAATATTTCAGGGAGAAAATTAATGGGGAAGTCGTTCAAGACTTAATTTCAAGAGCAAGGGCATCTTTAGCCATGCTTGCGGCAGTTCATACAGCTCCAAATGAGGAAGAAATGATGCAGCCCTTGAAGGGGAGGCGCCATCATGGCTGACATTGAGGGACAGGAAACTGTTGGAGAAATCAGCTGAGGATATCAAAGCTGATGCTGTGGTGGCACGAGATGGGACGGGGGATTACAAGACCATTGCGGAAGCAGTTGCAGCTGCACCTGATAAAAGCAAGAAACGGTATGTGATCTATGTGAAGAAGGGAACTTACGTAGAGAATGTCGAAGTGACTAAGAAGAAAAAGAATCTGATGATTGTTGGTGATGGTATGGACTTGACTGTTGTCAGTGGTAGCCTCAATGTTGTTGATGGATCTACAACTTTCAAATCTGCCACTCTTGGTAAGTGATATGTTTCTGCTAATAGCTAGTACCCTTTTTACTCAAAATTGAGACTTGTAGTGTCTTGTAACCATGGTTCGCCGTCGCGGATCGCGGCCGCGTCGCGGTCTCGGTTGTTCCACATCCGTCGCGGCATATCGGTTGAATATCGGGTGATACACACATTATAGTATATAAAAATTTCCAAAAAATCTGAAAAAATTACTAAAAATAGAAAATACCATTAAAAACACAAATATCAAATTAAATTTACTAAATACCTACTATATATTACCTAAAATTATCAAATTTGCCTTTTTCTAATTAATTTACCTAAAATCATTTTAACCAACATAATTGAGATACTTGAAAATAAATAAATTATATTTATGATCATTAAAATGTATCCAAATAATCACTATATATTTTCTAACTAAAATTTAGATAAGAGACTACTAATACAAATTAATCATATACTTAATAATATGTAAAAATTGTCAAAATGCATTACATAAATTTACAAATATTTAAATATCACATCTGAATACTAAATTAAAAAAATTAAAATTGATAAGTTATTTTGAAAGAAGATGCAGACTTGAACTTAGGCCAAACTTGAAATTTAAGTGCTTCTAATTTTTCCTTCTATTTTTTTCCCTGTCTCTGGTCTGGTACAAAAGCCCAGCTTCTCCACCAAATATGTGACAGTTGCCGCAATGTGGAATTAGAGAGTGAAACCTGGCAAAGTGGGAGCCTGGTGTCTTTGGGATTATTAAATGGTTGCCGCTCTCTCAAAGCTCTGTCATTAGGCTCCTTTCATATGCTGAAACAACTCCGTGTAAACTTACTGCCAAAAGAATTGAGATGCTCTCGATTCCTCCGAGTGAGATTGGGAATCAAACCATCAAAGTAGCAATCTGACTTCACTAGTGTTGTTCCTCTCAGATTTAGCCGTCCCTTAGCTTGGTAATTTCCCTTTCACAGCCAGATTGAAGACCCCTTCGCCTACAAATGACGAAGAAATTGAAGCTTCAGCTCCAGATTAGCCAGCCGTCACCTTCATTCTTTCTTTCGCTTTCCCTTTCCCTCTGTTGTCTCCTTCCCTCTGCCTTCACCCTCTGTTTTTCTCCTCTCCTTCCTTCACTGGAAGGACGATGAAGAAAGAACTCGCTTCTCCAAATAACCATGGTCACCCTCTGTTGTCTCCTTCCTTCCCTCTCTGCTAATCTGAAGATATTCCCTCTCTGCAAAAGGCACCCAGAAATTGACGGTATGTTTCTCCCCTTATCTTCCCTTTCTCCTAAATCTTGTCTTTGTGGCTGAAAAAGAAAACAAGAAAGCGTGAGAAATTGGACAATATCCGAGTCGAATCCGAGAATTTGACCGATATCTTTCTACACGGTTCTAACTCGGACAATATCGACTGATTCGGAGCGATTCACATCGGATATGATATAATCGGCGTTTCGGGTATCGGTATCGGAACAGTAGGGACTGTTCCGGTTATGACTCGGCCGAGTCGTCTCGGACTCGGCCGAGTTGGCGAACCATGCTTGTAACTGGTTATTGAACTTGATGTCACTTCTACTAACCTACTAGAGCTGGATTAGTGAATCTGTTATAATTGAACTCTCATGAGTTTCCCAAGGTACCAAAAGAAGATTCTGCTGAAAATTTAGTGATTATTTATAACGAATTCATAATTGAATATTTGACCAAGAAAATGAAAGAACATGGATCTCGCGTTTTACTGGCAGCTGCTGTTGGTGATGGACTCATCCTGCAAGACATTTGCATCCAGAACACAGCAGGACCAGAGAAGCATCAAGCAGTAGCACTTCGTGTTGGGGCAGATCAATCCGTCATAAACCGCTGTCGAATTGATGCTTATCAAGACACCCTATACAGCCATTCTCTCAGACAATTCTACAGGGATTGCAACGTTACCGGAACAATCGACTTCATCTTTGGCAATGCAGCAGTAGTATTGCAAAACTGCACACTTGTCCCACGATTGCCCATGAAAGACCAGAAGAACATGGTTACTGCACAGGGGAGGATCGACCCAAATCAGAACACGGGGACATCAATCCAGAATTGTGAAATCATAGCGAGTCAAGACCTTGAACCAGTGAAATCTTCATTTCCTACCTATCTTGGCAGGCCATGGAAGGAATATGCTAGAGTTGCTGTCCTAGAATCATACATTGGTGATGAAATTGATCCAGCAGGCTGGTCCGTATGGAGTGGAGACTTTGCACTGAAGACATTGTATTTTGGGGAGTATATGAACAGAGGACCAGGTGCAGGCACTAGCAAGAGAGTAAACTGGACAGGATTTCATGTGATTACTGAACCGTCTGAGGCTATGAAGTTCACAGTTGCTGGACTTATACAAGGAGGTGAATGGCTGCCATCTACTGGAGTTGCTTACACAGAAGGACTTTAGATTAGCATATCATAATTAGTCAAGTTACAACAATATTTAGCAAATATAATTGAGAATCACTGAGGCTTGATCTACAACCTTATAATTTCATGCCATATTTAGTCTATTTGGACTATGTATTCCTCCTCTTCATCGCGCTTCTGGTTGGAAGAAATAAAAGTGATTAGTAAGATTCCAGGAGGAACTAACCTCTTCCATTCCTCACTTGAGCTCAAACGCACTTTTATGGAGGTCAAATTTTATAGCTTTTCATGAGCAGAAGTACCTCACCGAAGTTGGCTCTTAATGGTTTGTTCGGAGAATTGTACTGCTTTTTGGATATATCATGGATAGATCATGGATGAACATTTCATCTAAGACTATAAAATCTTGCATTTTCAAATTCATAGCTAGGGTCAAATTTTTTGTTCTCTAACATTTTCATTATCTTCATGAATTTTTCTCAATTTGTCCCAAATCTTTTTAGCTGACTTATAGCTTTTGACCCTAATAGATTTATTTGAGTCTAAACCACTATATAACACATTCATAGTTTTTACATTTAAGATGAAATGAGATTTATTTTCTGCAGTCAATTCATTTTTATTTTCGGTCTAGATCTATGAGTATTTTCAACTTCTATTGAGGTATCATATGGACCTTCATTAACAATAAACCACAATTCAATGTCAATCAATTGCAAAAGATAATCATTCTCTCTTTCCAACTCACATAATTTGACCCATTAAACATTGGAGGTCTAGTTAGTGACGATGAAACTGATGATGATTTTGAATCTTTCATTGAAAATTGCATGATAGTTTGAAAGAATCATATACTAGAAACAAAGAATTAAAACACAAAATTAATTTTTTCTTCAGGACAATGCACATTTTTTTCAAAAAAATATAAAGTTGAAAACTAAAAATGATTACTTAAAAAAGGGTGAGATTGATCTACAAAATAAGGTTGATAGAAAAACAAGCCTTTGTAAAATGTTCAAAGAGGAATAAGGTGATTTGAAAAGAAGAATTGACAATCTAAATGAGTTTCTCCACCATAAAAAATAAAACTGTTTTCAAATAAATAGATCAAAATCTCATCTTGGCACTCATGAAAAGAAGTTAAATTCTGGTGCAAATGAATTTACTATTCATAAGAGAAGAGAAGTAAGATCTATTAAAGCTTTTCATGTAAATAACTCTTTAATTATATATAGTTTCTGTTATCAAAAAGATCACATGAAAAATGATTATTATGTGAGAAAGAACATGAGAAGAGTCATAAAATGCATGTGAATAGTTAGACATGATGTTAACTCTCAATGACCCAAAAATTGAAAAATTTATATGAATTTTCAAATTCATATATAAATTTATTCTTTTCCCTTAAAAAATTTTAAGATATATATATATATATATATTTTTTTTTTTTTCAAAATTTGGGGCCTTTTCGGCGAGCCAAATCCAGGCGGACGAGTGGGATTTTTCTTTGGGTCCGACAGAGCTTCTCAAAGCCCACTCACGAGACCCATTTGATAGGGCCTAACGGAGAGGGCCAGTCGCGGCTTCTTTCTTCCAGTCGAAATCTGAGATACGACACCGATCACTTTCAAACGACATAGTCCCAAATGCGTCGTTCACAAATTACACATAAGCAGGAAGAAAACGCAAACCTTTTTCCCTCTTAAAACCCCGAAATTGATCATTTGAAGGAATTTTCCCCCTTTTTCGACCCTAGATCTTCAGTTTTCTAAGGTAATTAAAGGGAAAAAAAGGTTTCTTAGCTTTGTTTTTTTATCTTTACTCATACTTCAGTGGTTTTAATTGCTGCGCTGAATTCTCAACTTACGTGATTAAATTCCCAATCTTTGACCCTAAATATTTTTTTTTATTGATCATCGATTTGCACGAAAACTACATAGGTGATTTCAGTTTCCTATGAGCATTATCGCAATGTTTTGCTTTTGGTACTTACGATGAATTATTTGCAGAAATAGTTGGAAAAATGGAGGATATATTTATTGCAATTCTGTCGATGCTTCTGGTGTTTGCTTTAGTACCGCTGTATCTATGGAAACGCCGACTTGATTCTCGGTCTCCTGATCAACCTCGAGAGGAGGAGGAACCTCAGGTTCTTATTAGCTTACAGAATATATTCAGTAGTTTTTATTTCTTAATATTAAAATTTTTTTCGTTGTTGTTAGCTTGATTGCTAGTATCTGTGCGGTTGAATTAATGACGTGCTGGTCGCTGATTTTGGCTTTATTTTATTTAATCATATAATTATTTTGTAATTTGGGGTGATGGTGTATAATTTTTAGGTTAGGCAAAGGGAAACAGTAGTGAGGGGTAGTGGAGCTCGGCGGATGCGGCGAAGACCTGCTGCTTCTGGTGCCAGCTCATCGTCAGCCGGAGCTACTGTAGAAGGTTTCCTATTGTTCGTTTATAGGATAATGTTGGAGAATATTGTCGATGTAGCCCAGCACACACCCCCCCCCTCTTTTTTTCTCTCCAAAGGAAATGGAAAAAAAAGAAAAGAAAGAGAGAGTTGGATAATATGTTGGACTGTTTTATCAAAGTGGTTTGAAGTGGCTATTTGATACAGTGGATGCAGAAGCTGTTGATGAAAGTGATGAAGAAGCTGATGGAAATGAATACTACCTGCTAAAGTGTCGAAGAAAAAGGAAAAGAAGCGGCAGGAAAGAGAAGCACAGAGACAGGTGCAATAAGTTTCTCCTTTCCACTTGAAGTATCTTCAGTGAACAATTCAACATTTCTCTACCTTGCTATGATGCATTTGCATTCTTGACTAGTTTTATGAGGAAAACATATTAAATGATTTATTAGGCATCTTCCTTGTGAATTAAAGTGTGTCTTTGATTGATTGGAACTTGGGAATGCATCATAGAATGGCATTTTAAAGATTTTCTAATTAATTGCTCTGCTATTGTGTTCTTTAATATTTCTGTCATGTTAGTACTTTAATATGAACTGGTGAATTCTGAAAATCATTCCTTTTGAAGGCTGATGAGGCTGCACGTGAGTCAAGACGGACCAAACAAGATCGTTACGAAAAAAATGAGGAGGAGGAAGGATGAGGAACGAGAAGCGCAAGAGCTTAAGCTGGTTGGTTGATTGATATTATGTGGACTGTAAGAAGTAGATAAATGTTGTCTTATCTGTTGAAGTACCTGAACGTTGTCTATCTAGGAAGAAGAAGCCAGAGCTCGCAAAGCCAAGGAGGAAGAAGCTGCTGCATTAGAATTTGAAAAATGGAAAGAGGAATTCTCAGTTGATGCAGAAGGTACTACAGAAAATGAAGTCCAAGATGGAGGCCAAGGCCTGCTCTCTGGTTTTGTGGATTACATCAAGGTGCTTCCTAGTGCAATACAATATTGTTGGATTCTTTATCGTTTGATTCATGCTGCTCCTGTACTATTGACTCAGAGTGTTAGCCTGGTAATATAGGAAGCTTGTATGGTAAAATAGTTTTCTGTTTTATTTGAATCAGTGAATGTTAGAGTTGTTTGCTATTGGAAGTGAATCAGTTTACTGTTTCAAAAAATAAGTCCAAAGGAATTTCTAAAGGCACATGCAATGTAGAATTAAGAGAAAGACTGAAAGAATGCTGTTTTCTCATCCTTCTCTCTCATTTTGCAGAATCATAAATGCATTCCATTGGAAGATCTTGCCGCAGAGTTCAAATTACGGACCCAGGTAGGGCCTGTGCACTTTTCGCCAACCTATCTGTTTTACCTGTATTATAATAGCAGGGATAGGAATCTGATCTGCTAACTTAAGAAACTACTTCGCTTGCTTATCAAAGATGAACTAACTGAGCATTGGTCAATCACATTAAAAGGGGAAAAATGGAAAGAGAGTTAATCCCTGTTTTATATTAATTTAAATTTGATGCCCCATAGTTCTTGAAGACAATTGAACTGTTTATTGTGAGAAATTATAATGTACCAATAGTCTAAAGATTGTTTTATGCGTAAGACCTCTAATGTGAATATATTTAAGTCTAATTATCGAAAGGCACTTTGAGAATTTCTTAGTGTGTATCCTAACATGTTTTAACTTGTTTCCTCATCTTCTGATGAGTTTTATTTGGTATAGGACTGTATTAACCGGATCACCTCGCTAGAAGATATGGGTATGCTTTCCCTCCTTTTTCTCATAAGAGTGTCTATTAGCTGCATTTAATGGTTGATTAAGGAGTAAATAGTCCTGCCACTCTTTCCCACCTTCCTACATCATTTGGTAGTGATGATTTTGTTTCAGGGAGACTATCTGGAGTCATGGATGATAGAGGCAAATACATATATATCTCGCAAGAAGAGATGAATGCTGTAGCTGAATACATCAAGCGCGAGGGTAGGGTCAGCATATCCCACTTAGCTAGCAAGTCCAACCAGTTCATAGATTTGGAACCAATATCCCAGTTTGTGGATGACATCAGCAGTGTAGAAGAGATAGCTGTTGCTTGATACTTCCATGCCCTCTATAGATGTGAGGAAATAGTTAAATTTCTTCACTTTGTGGATAGCTCTCTAGTCTATCAGTCCCTTTTTCCCCTAATTCTCTTGTTTGATGTACCCTATACGGTAAAAGAAAAGGAGAATTGCCTTATTTTTGTTTCAGGAACACTTCTTGAATTTAAGATACTTGGTTGAGATGGAAAAACTGGACACCCTTTTTTTTTTTTGGAGGGAGGATAGCATGTACGTGCGAAGTGTCAAAAGAATGCTGTAAAATATATATATATTTATATATTGTCTTCCTCTTACCGAGCTTAGCTCAGATTTCCTTTTAACACACTTGATTCTTTTGCTGAATTGAATTGCAACCTTGTGGCTTTTGGTTCGTGATGGATGGAAGCCCATTTAACTTAGATAAGAGGCCTCGCAAACTGTCTTCTTCTTGTTCTTGATCTTGGACAAGTATAGATACTTTGTTTACGTTCAGGGAGAAAGTCACAACTCGTTAGGAAAGTTCTGAAAATCTCTACATTGCTAAGATTAAACTTTCACATAAAATTGTACCAGAAAATATGCAGTCCAGTTAATAGGTCATGGCATTAATAAGTATTGAGAATTCATCGAGTTCTGCATCTAGGGACGTGGAAGGAGGTTGTGCGTGGGGGATAGACGAAACAAGTTGGGGAAGAATAAAAGCTGAGATCCAGCAACAGGGATAGGTTGGCAACACTGCTAGAGCCAT